ATTTGACTGAGGACATAAAATGTATACCAAATGATAATTTAATTGCAACTTAATTATGAGGTATGAACTTGGGTTGCTATAATCTGGATTTATGAAAATGGAAAAAAAAAGCTTAAAATGTTGGTTAAGTTTCTCTGCCTACAACTAAAGAGAAAATATATTATAGAGTCATGGTATTGATATTGCTTTAGTGAACCTATTTATGTCCAACTTCATTGTCCATGCATTAACTAATACATTTTTTTCAAAGAATTTATTATAAATATAGCCACTTTACTGAGCAATAAACTATGATAAGAGGGTGGATAAAACTAATGCTATTGATTACATATTCAAAATATAATGAATAAATATACCTTTTTCTTTCCATATTATTGTAGTGAATAAGGAAAAGATTTGTGATAATGTCTTAGTATGAATAACATAAAGCAACAGATCTAAATACCACATAATACACAGATTAATAATTATAAAATTAGTTAAAATGAATTAATTAGTTAAAAAGTATATCTCTATAAGGGTAATTCAGAAAACTCAAATCCAGGGGCAGTCATTGTGGCTCAGCTTGCAATGCCAGCATATCGGAGTGCTGGTTTGAGCTCTTACTGTTCTGTTTTTGATCCAGCTTCCTACTAATGTACTTGGGAAGGCAACAATGATGACCCAAATACTTGAGCCCCTACCACCCATGTGGGAGACTCAGATGGAGTTCCTGGCTCCTGGCATTAGTCTGGCCCAGCCTTAGTTCTTTTAGTTGTTTGGGGGATGATTCAGCAGATGCAAGATCGCTTTTTCTCTCTCTCTCTCCCTAACTCTCTGCCTCTGCCTGTCTTTCTGTCTCCCAAATAATAAATAAATACATCAATAAATTTTTTGTAAAGTTAAAATCCATGTATAAATTTCCCATAATATGTATTTTACATGCATTTTTTGAAGATCTCTTGTATGCATGGATTTCAAAAATATTTTTGCATCAAACATAAATATGTTTTTAGTTCTGTTCTCCTCAAACATTTTAAAGTGCCCTCATCTGCATCACATTTTCTTAAAATATTTCTTGAACTTTTAAATGAAACCAAAATGATTTCCGATTGAACACTGAGAAACATTTGTAGGGGATAACTATAATTTGCCTTTATTACCCTTAAAGTCTGGAAGAAGATTCAATGTGCAGTCTCTATCTTTTGATAATGTGATTTTGCCTAACAGTGTTGAGCCCATTAGTAGCATTTGTATTATTTAATGATGAAGGAACGGTGGTATTCATTGACTCTTTTTTTCAGTATAATATTTTATATTTTTATGTATTTTAAGTCTTGTATAATTGTTTCTCTCAAATTTATTCTTCATTTATCTTTTCATCAGGATATGATGGTGTGAGACAGTAAGAGAAAGAATAGACGATTCTTTTGAAGTTATTTTAATGGAATCTTACAGATGTTTAATAGCTATTTGCTGATGCCATGTGCCACAGGGAACCAAATATTATAGATTAGATAAGATACTACAGGTATCGCCCAGTATTATTACAAACAGATTTTTTTCATCAGAATAAAAATTATGGTATAGTGCAAAAAACATGGAGCAAGTAAGAAAGGAATTAGTCTAGCTTTAGTTCTACACATATAATCAATGGAGATACTTTTACTAGCTCCTAACATATGCTTCATGTAATAGCAAAAGAATGACACAGTTCTTCAAATCAGTTAGAACTGGGTGTGTGTCTTGAGCGACTAATCTATGTGAGTCTCAATCTCATTACATATCCTATGAACATAATGACACCTGCACTGTGGATCTGTTATAAAAATTAAAGAGAATAACATTTGAAAACTTCTGAACAAGAGCTGATACATAGTAGGTGCTCAATCAATTTTGATTTTGGCATTTGAGCTTAACCTTTACTGTTAGCTATTCTTAACACAGCATATTAAGTGCCCCTCTGCCTCTAATATGTCAGGATAATGACATGAGATATGTAGGTAAACAGCACTTTGGAAAGAACAATGCCTCATGGAAGCATAAGGCAAAGTTGCTCTGCCATGCCTGAGGAAACTGAATTTCAGAATGGGCACAGAGTATGCGTTATGACTCAACTCTTCTCGCGGCATGGCAAGGAACATGAAAATCTCCCTGTTGCTTATGAAGCTGCAAATAAAGCCGATTTAGCCTGTGCATTCTGTCCTGGGCCAGGTGCCTTGAAGTCCCAATCCTTGCTGCCAAGTTCTTTTTGAAAGAAAGAGCTAGGTGGTTGGCTTCTATTCCAGCCGCTTGAGCTGCCAAATGACTCTTATAAAAACAGCACAAAACAACCTTCCCCAGCAGCACACAGACTCGATTTCTCCTCCCTCCCCATTCTTTCATTTTAATCTTTTGTAATGTGTGGTTTCCAGATTCCAAAAGTGTAAACAAAGCATGTCTGTTCTGTAGATTCTATTATCCAGTGCAAATTGGAAAAAGAAATCATAATGCTTCTAAATCTTTTTAAATGTCTTTTTATAAATAGCTTTTCAAATATTGCTGTCCCTTGCATGCTTTGGACAAGGTGGAGTGGAATCGAAGAGGATTCATATCAACCTACTGCAGACAATTCTCTTCCTCAAGCACAGTGTGATCAGGGGGGTCAGTTTTGTGATCATTACGCTAGGAATAAAACCGCAGATATCTTATGCATTGAGAACTGGTGGCTGCATGTGGGAGAAAAATACCTCAGAGGAATAAAGGGATATCAGATGGTTCTTTCTCCCCCCCCTTTTTTTTTTTGACAGTCAGAGTGGACAGTGAGAGAGAGAGACAGAGAGAAAGGTCTTCCTTTGCCATTGGTTCACCCTCCAATGGCTGCCATGGCTGGCGCGCTGCAGCCGACGCACCACGCTGATCCAATGGCAGGAGCCAGGTACTTCTCCTGGTCTCCCATGGGGTGCAGGGCCCAAGCACTTGGGCCATCCTCCACTGCACTCCCTGGCCACAGCAGAGAGCTGGCCTGGAAGAGGGGCAACCGGGACAGAATCCAGCACCCCGACCGGGACTAGAACCTGGTGTGCCGGCGCCGCAAGGCGGAGGATTAGCCTAGTGAGCCGCGGCCCTGGCCCTTCCCCTTCTTTTCTAAGAGACACATTTTTCCAAAGCATAATGAAAAAGATCAAATTGAATTGTATTTTTATCATGACATAAATTGTGCAAACAATTGGGAAAAAACTTAAAAATATTAAATGGATTTGGCTCTTGTTGAATATTTTTTTTAAGATTTATTTTATTTATTTGAAAGAGAGTTACAGATAGAGGTAGAGACACAGAAAGAGGTCTTCCAGCCGCTGGCTCACTCCCTAGGTGGCCGCAACAGCCAGAGCTGTGCTGATCTGAAGCCAGGAGCCAGAAGCTTCTTCCAGGTTTCTCATGCAGGTTCAGGGGCCCAAAGACTTGGGCCATCTGCTATTGCTTTCCCAGGCAAGAACAGAGCTGGATTGGAAGAGGTGCAGCCAGGACTAGAACTGGCGCCCATATGGGATGCCTGCACTTCAGGCCAGGGCTTTAACCCACTGTGCCACAGCACCGGCCCCATGATCTTCTTGAATATTTAGATTTGAATTTTAAATGTCACATTTTCCTTGTAAATTGTATTTTTTATGTGTTCCATACTGTCTCAAGTTAGTGTGCTAATTTCCCTGTGTAGTTTCGCAAGACAATGATTCCATTCACTAATTAAATTTCATAGTGTATTAATAACATCAACACAGTTGCATTTCCCTGTGTGCCAATTTCTGTGTAATAAAAGACATGGGGACATTTGTTTTGCCCAGGTAAGTATGAAATATCATTGTGAGAGAGAAGGAGAGATAACAATGGTAATTGCTGCCAGCCCTAATGTCTTTTGAGATATATATGAATGCATATAACTTGTTCAGTCTATTAAGCTGATGCTAGTTCAGCTTAATACATATGTTGGTTTTTAAACACAGTACTAGAGTAAGGTGGTAGGGAGATATGCATGTAGAAAAATTGTAGGTAGATTAGGCAATGACATTTTATTTTTTTATTTTATTTTTTAAAGATTTATTTTATTTATTTGAAAGACAGAGTTACAGAGAGAGGTCGAGACTGAGAGAAAGGTCTTCCATTTGCTGGTTCACTCCCCAGCTGCAACGGCCAGAGCTGCACCGATCAGAAGCCAGGAACCAGGCACTTCCTCTGGGTCTCCCACATGAGTGCAGGGGCCCAAGGACTTGGGCCATCTTCTACTGCTTTCCCAGCCACAGCAGAGAGCTGGATGGGAAGAGGAGCAGCCGGGACTAGAACTGGAGCCCATATGGGATGCTGGCACTTCAGGGCAGGGCATTAACCCACTGCGCCACCAGTGCTTGGCCCCTGCACCCGCATGGGAGACCCAGAAGAAGCTCCTGGCTCCGGGCTTCAGATCTGCACAGCTCCAGCTGTTGCAGCCATTTTCTGGAGTGAACCAGCGGCTGAAAGACCTTTCTCTCTGTCTCTTCCTCTCACTGTCTGTAACTCTACCTCTGAGATAAACCAAAAAAATAAATAAATAAATAAAAAGGAATCATCTGATTAAAGTATATTTAATGAAATAAGGTGATTTTTAATTTTCAAAGGAATTTTCCTTAGTCCAGCAAACATACATTGATTTTCAGTTGTCCTCTATAATATTTGTTTGTTCATGTGATACTGAGAACTAATGTATAAAGACTTTTCTAAAGTCTATATATTACAACTCTTTCAACTAGGGGAATATTTTAGTTCACAAATGTAACAAAATATTTTATTTCTTGATGCTATTCTCAGAATGAAAATATATTGGGGTTTTTCTTCATAGAAAATAAAATTTAAAAATGGGTTTCAAAGAAAAATAAATTTCTGTAGAATTAGACTTTCCCTGTGTATTTTTGCTATTCTGAATGTATGAAAGTCTATGAGATAATGAAAGCCAAATAAACAAAACCCTTGGTCACTGAATTATTGCAATGTTTCCTTCTTTTTTCTTTCAGCTCTCAGGAGAAGTGATTTTGCAAATTGCCAACGAGCCAGTCCTGCCCTTTAATGCTCTTGATATAGCTTTAGAAGTTCAAAACAATCTGAGAGGTAATTTTTCTTTGAATTATCATACTTTAGCAAATGAAAAAAAATGTCCACTAATTTGCAGAAGGAGTGGGTAGATGAAGTCATCTACTTACCAGCCATGTCAAAGCTCTGCCTCCTTTTCTGTAGATGGTAAGTAGGGGAAAGGCCTGAGAGAAAGCTGCTGTGTCAGGAACTTAAGGTGTATTTACATGTGAACATAAGGTGAGATATCAGATCCAGTCCACCTACTTTCTTTTATCAAAGAGATTCATAACCCCAAACTTCCATTATTATTTACATTTTTGTATGGAATAATATGGCTTAGGATATTTGTTTGTTTATTTGTTTTAACATTACACCAAATACTAAGTCCAAACCAAGTGGACTGGCTCAGATATCTCTCCTTTGGGTTGGTTTCTATTGGGTAGAAATTATATCCCATTGACTGAGATGTCGGCCAGGTTCTAGATTAAACATGACAAGGAGAAAAACCAGGTAATTGTTCCCATAATCTCTATTTCAATCCCTTCATCTTTGAGTGGTTTTTTTTTTTTAACTGAATTCTGGCCCAACCCTAATGATTACCTTGGTTCCCCTTTATCCAACATACAAATCTTTCAATTATGGTCCAAATTTGTCTTCATTAACCAAATACAAAGTGCAGAATTATGGTTAAAGATTACACTTCCCTCCTTCTTGAGTCATAAATCTTCTTATTAGCTCTTTAATGAATCATTTGTAGACAACTCATTATCAATACAAATGCACGTATTTTAACTACAGTGCTCAAGCAGTAATCCTTTGAAAATGGGTCACTGTAGAGTCTAGTATTTCCAGTAGCTGCAAAAATCAGCATTCTTTTTCTTCCTTAACTACCTGGATTACTTTCTCACCTAGACAATATACCATTTGTCCCCTCAATGTTTGTTTGTTTATAACTTTTACTAGAGTGATGGTAAAACCTGGGTCTCCACAGCATTGACCTTCTTAGGGATATTTGCTCCTGTACAAAATGCTCTCATATTGATCAGCCTTTTGGATACATAAGCAGACTCTTAACTAGTTTCCATGTTTCTTACTTTCAGCAGTCTTCATCTCATTGTAGCATTCTCTTTTGTCCCCTACTTTGAATTTGCTATTTCTACAATAATTTGGGCTTAGAAATTGAGTAACGACTATATGATATGCTGCAAAATAAGAATAATAGATATAAATAAAGGTCTAAATTGTGCCATGAACAATTACTATATTTTCTGAAAGGACTTTCTTTAAAATTAATTACGTTATTTTGCTTTTTCTTTAGCTTTAATTTTCATACTCTATTTATTTATTTATTTATTAATTTTTTGACAGGCAGAGTGGACAGTGAGAGAGAGAGACAGAGAGAAAGGTCTTCCTTTGCCGTTGGTTCACCTTCCAATGGCTGCCGCGACCAGCGCGCTGCGGCCGAAGCACCGCGCTGATCCGATGCCAGGAGCCAGGTGCTTCTCCTGGTCTCCCATGGGGTGCAGGGCCCAAGCACTTGGGCCATCCTCCACTGCACTCCCTGGCCACAGCAGAGGGCTGGCCTGGAAGAGGGGCAACCAGGACAGAATCTGGCGCCCTGACCGGACTAGAACCCGGTGTGCAGGCGCCGCAAGGCAGAGAGGATTAGCCTAGTGAGCCGTGGCGCCGGCCATTTTTCATACTCTAGAAAATTCAATTTGTATATTGCACAATAATTTAAACTTTCAGAGAGAAGAAAGAGGAGGCTGTTGCTTATTTAAAGTAAACACTTATTCATCTATAAAAGAATACCATGCATGGAAAGGAACTTCAAACTGTATACTACAAAACACCAACATTTTCTCATAGAAATCTGAACATTAAATAAATTGCTTTTCTGAGACCAACTTTTCTATGATGAATGTGTGGTATATTTGTAATAAAGAAAGAAATAGGCATATTTAAAAAGATTAAAGAAGTATGGGCAGCATTGTGGTGTAGTGGATACAGCTGCTGCCTGCGACAACAGCATGCCACATGGACTCTTGTTCTTGTCCCGGCTGCTTCACTTCTGATTCAGCTCCCTGCTAATGGCCTGGGAAAATCAACGGAGGATAACCCAAGTGAGACCCAGAAGAAACTCCTGGCTTTGGCCTGACCCAGAACTGGCCATTGCAGCCATCTGGGGAGTGATCCAGCATATGTGGAAGATCTCTCTCTGTCTCCCCTTCTCTCTCTGTAACTCTTTCAAAATAAATAAATAAATCTTAAAAAAAAAGATGAAAGAAATAAAGCCAACAAAAGCAAAAGTGTTAGCAAAACTGTCATTTTAAATGCTAAGTTGTGTTTTTAAATCAATAAACTTTATTTTTAAAATACAAAAATAGGTGATGTATTTCAGCACTTTAAATGTTACATGAAAGTTCAAATAATGTATACGACCCTGGAAGCTCAGAAAAGCATTTTTGGAGTGTAATGGTTAAGATGCTGCCTTCTTGCTTTGGCCTGGCCCAGCCCTGGTTATTCTGGCCATTTGGGGAGTAAATCAGCAGATGGATGGTTACTCCGCGCTCTCTCTCTGTCTCTCCCTCAACCAGTAACTCCTATTCCAGCTTCCTACTAACGCACACCCTGTGAGCAGCAGATAATGACTCAAGTAATTGTGTCCCTATCACCCATGCGGGAGACCTGGATTGCGTTCTGAGCTCCTGGCTTTAGCCTGGCCCACCCCTGCCTTGCCCCATCTGCTTGACATGAACAAGCAGATGGAAGATCTTTTTCTATCTCTAAATCTCTCTATTTCTGCCTCTCTGTCTTTCAAATAAAATGAGAAAATAAAAAAACAGCATCTAAATAAATCAAATTAAAATCCTCGCTCCTATGAAACCCATACATACATTCCTATGACAGAACATTCACATAAATATGAAATAAAAGCAAATTTGATGTTAGAATTATGCTCAAATTGTGCCCTACCACCAATCACTTTGAAGAATTTTACATTCTCAGAATAAGCATTCTAGCAGATATTAATAGTTATATCCTAAGTGTACAGAAAGGATCTGACCTGTAAAAATATAAATGTGGGTGTTATGCTAGACTTGTTAAGTGCCTGGGCATATACAGATAACAGAAGGTCTGAGATGTCTGTGGCACTCCTATGTTTAGAAATTAGAGTTAGAGGTATAATTGAGAAGACCACGGAGGAGTAGCCAAAGAGTAGGAGACAAAAATGGGTGCTGTTCTTGAAGCCAAGTTAATAAAATCTCAAAGAAAATTTAGCAGTGTGACCATATGTTTTCCCTTTGTGTGGCAGTTAATATAGAATACCAAAAAAGGTTTAAGAATGAAGTTGACATCTTTTTAAATATAATTTTTAATTTTTAATCAATTTTTAACATATTCAGTGTAATTTATGGACACAATTCTAAGAACATAATGCTACTCCTCTCCTCCCTCCCCCTCTTTACCTCATCTTTCCTTCTCCTTTTTTTTCTTTTTCTTAGTTTTTGAGATAACACATTTTAAAATTATATTACAGTAGAAGGTCAATACTCCACTTAATAAGAAGTTTAACAAGTAAAAAGCAATAAGATCCTAGTTTAGTGGAGAAACTGCCATCTTATGATTTATTGTTTTTACCCTTGTCTATACTCCTGTGGAACAGTGGTCTTTCTACTTCCTCCTTGTTGAACATTATGGTTAGTGGTGCGTTAAGCCTGCAATTATAAAGTAAATTGAAATTACGTTATTGGAAAATTAAAGGGATAAAAGAAAGGATGGGTTTTGGAGGAGGGAGGGAGGGAAGTATGGTTTTCTTCTTAGACCTGTATCTATGAAAGACATGAAATCTGTTATTTTTGTATTAATAAATTTTTTAAAAGAAAATTTAGCAGAATGGAAATCATCTATGATCTCAACAAAAATAGGTTTAGGGCAATGATGGGAATAAAAGCCTAATTAGAATAATTTACAAGAGAAAGGTGATAATTGGAGGACCTGTGGTAGTAGGTGGAAAGAGATATGGTGGCAAAAAGGCTTAGCCTGGAGGCATTGTAGGTTAAGCTGCCAGGCATTACAGGCAGCCTGTGACATCAGCATCCATATAGGCACCAGTTCATGACCTGGCTGCTTCACTTTCAATCCAGTTCCTCCTTAATGTGCCTGGGAAAGCAGCAGAGGATTGCCCAAATACTTGGGTCTCTGCACCCAAGTGGGAGACCAGGAAGAAGTTCCTGGCACCTGGTTTCAGCCCAGCCCAGCCCAAGTCATTGCAGTCATTTGATGAGTGAACCCAGCAGATGGAAGATCTCTCTCTCTCTCTCACTCTGTCTCCTGACCACCCTGTAACTAAGCCTTTGATATAGATAAGTAAATCTTTTTTTTCAAAAAGGACTAGCATGTTTTTATTTTGATTACAATGGTCTAGTAAGGCAAATTTTGATTATGCAAGAAAGAAAGAAGAATTAATGGGGCCGCCGCCTGCAGTGCTGACATCCCACTTCCTATTCAGCTCTCTGCTATGGCCTGGGAAGGCTGTGGAAGATGGCCCAAGTCCTTGGGCCCCTACACGCATGTGGGAGACCTGGAAGAATCTCCTGGCTCCTAGCTTTGGATAGGCACAGCTCCAGCAGTTGTAGCCATGTGGGGAGAAAGCCAGTGAATGGAAGACCTCCCTCTCTCTCTCTCTCTCTCTCTCTCTCTCTTTCTCTGCCTCTGCCTCTCTGTAACTGCATTTCAATTAAAAAAATCTTTAAAAAATAATTAATGAATGGATTTTCTTAGGAAAGCACAAAGATTGCCTTAGTTAAGAACTTAGTTTGAAAAAAGGATTTATTTTTAAAAAATGATTTATTTTATTTACTTGAAAGGCAGAGCTACAGAGAGAGAGAGGGAGGAAAACACACATACACATACACATACACAGAGAGAGAGAGTGGGAGAGGGGAGGGATCTTCCACTTGCTGGTTCATTCCCCAAAGGGCCACAATGGCCTGGGCTGGGCCCCTCAGAAGTCAGGAGCCTGGAACTCCATC